TGACATTCCACTGGGATGACATTCCACTGGGATGACATTCCACTGGGGTTTCATCAAAGAGAAAAGGAAGTGGGGCTGGTTCAGCTTGCGTGCTCAAGAGAACCGGAAGGTCCCCCAAGACTTTGGGTGGACTCCCTTGAAGCAGATTTGCAGGATTTGGCCGCAAATCACTGGGCATGGGCAGACCCAGGGGGTTGCACCATCGTCCGGCTGAGTGAGAGCAGAAAAGAAGCTCCTTAAGGGCAGGGCCTGCCTCCATTTTGTCTTTGTCTCCCCAGTGCCCAGCTCAATGCCTGGTGCTCAGTAGTTGCTTAGTGCATGAATAGTGGAATTTAATTGAATCAAGGGTGTTTCTCAGGAAACCTGGTGGAGTGAGGCTCTGCCGGAACCAGGGGAGGAAGAACGGAGGCAGGTAGCGAGCGAAACCGCCACCTTGCGGCCTCCCCAAGCACTGCGGCAGGAGGCGGCCTCCACTTTCACGAGGCCACGAGCCACTTCCGGACCCATTCACGATGTCTCCTAGGAGACAGACTGATTCCCTTTCCCCGTGTCTAGTGATGAGCGCATGTGTGGAAAGAGCATCTATTCAAAACTACACTCCCATCAGGGCGGACCGTGACGCCAGGACGCCCTACGTGTCCCTCTCCGCCCTTTTTCCCTCTCCCCACCTTCTTGACTCCGGAAATGCTGCGGCCGCGGCCTGGGACTTCGTAAGACTACCTTTCCCAGGATTCCACCGTCCCCTGCGAGGTGACGTAATAGGACAACAGGGGAGGAGGGGACAAGGGAGAGGGTACTGGGTAAACCTAGACTGCGCAGGCGAGGGAAGACCGGCCTCCGGAGCTCTAGCGTTCCTGCTTGCGTGCGTACTGCGTGCGTGCTGGTGTGTGTGTGCTGCGTGCGTGCTTGCGTGCGTACACCTGGCCCCGGCGCACGCCAATGCCCTCTTGCCTCCCTTGCAGGCGGTCGGGGGTGTTGGAGATCCGGAGGCGCGTGGGAGCCGCGTGTCCGCTGGCGGCCACCGTAGGGGCCGACTCCGCCGCTGCTTCCGCTGCCTCCGCAGAACAAGCCGCGTGCCATGAAGCCAGGTGAGCGCCGGGGCCGAGCCGGGGGGGTTGGCGAGCCTGGGCCCCTGGCCTGCGGTCGGCAAGGCCAGATTCGGGTCCCGGCCAGGGCTTGCCCTTTCCTTCCCCTTGCAACTCAGTTTACTGGTCTGTAGCAGGAGGGCGGGGGCCCGAGGGGCGCGTGGCGACACTGACCGCTGGCCCGCACTTCCGTAGCGCCTTGCACGTTATCTCCTCTGCGGATCTTCGCCGCCCCCCCCGGGGGGAGGAGGGTGGGTGGCAATCAGCTCCGTTATCATCCCCGTTTTACAGGCGACGAAACTGAGGCCGGCGGCCGTGAAGTGAGTTGCCTGGGGATATACAGCTAGGAAGGGTCTGGGGCAGGATTTGAACTCAGGTCTCGTTGAGTCTAGCGTTCTCCCCACTGCTTTGGAGGAGCTCCGCTTTTACGAGCCCCAGGACTGGATTTGGGGGGGCCCCAAGGAGGTGGGGTGCCCTGACCACCCGCCCCCAAGGCAGGAGACGGAGCTGGTGTCTCACTTGGCTGGGCCTTAGTTTGCTGCCACTCCAGGCACGGAGCTGAGGCCGAGAGGGGTGGTCGTGGGCCTGGGTCCCCACATCAGAAATGCTTTGGGGTCTTTCTCTTGGCTCCACAAACACACAGACGCCTCCCCTCCAGGTTTAGGAGCCCCAGTGGGGATGGAGGGAGTGTCTCCTGTGGACCAGCCTACATCTTTGGGAGACTCTCCGACCTTCTTCCCATCCCCCCAGGCGCTGGTGGGCAGTGTCATCCTGGGCCTCAGTTTACTTTCAGGGTTTGTGGCCCCCTAGGGTTCCTCGGTGGTGGGGGATTGTGGATATTTCTTTATCGTTTCCCAGACTTAACTGACAGCAGTTTTGGAGGTGAGAAAGGGGTGGCTCGTGTTGTAGGACTTTTTTCTCTTCCCCTCCCATTCACGTGAACATTAACGTCCTGGTTCTCCTTCATCCCTTATCTGGTATTCAGGTGAGCTAGTAGGGGGAAGGCAGAATCTTCAGCCTCTGGCTAATTCTTTTTTTTGATTTTGTCTACAGGATTCAGCCCCCGAGGAGGGGGTCGGGGTGGGTTTGGAGGGCGTGGAAGAGGTGGTGACCGAGGGGGACGAGGAGGCTTTGGGGGCCGAGGAGGTTTTGGGGGACGTGGCCGTGGCGGCTTCGGAGATCGTGGTGGCCGAGGAGGTGGTCGAGGTGAGTTGAGGTTTCTTGGCTCTCGGGGCTGACCTGGGGTTAGAGAGAAAGAACAGTTCCTTGGGTGTCTACACTGGGCTTGTCCCGTCAGTAAGAAATCTTTGCCTCCCACAGGAAGCTTCCAATCACCTGGTGGTCGGGGCAGGGGCACCCCCCGAGGACGAGGCCGGGGTGGTAGAGGAGGTTTCCAAGGAGGAAAGAAGGTCACTGTAGAGCCTCATCGACATGAGGGTGAGTAAGGACATGTCCACTGCCATTTTTCTTAGCAAAGAAAACAGCAGCAAAATAAACATTGTGCAGTTTTACCTTCTCTGTTACCAGTTTTCATCATTTCAGGGGTAGGGGATGCCTGGGAGAGAACAAGGGGGGCGGTGCTCACGGGTCACACTGGCTCTTTATTTACTTCCTTTTTTTCTTCAGGAGTTTTTATTTGTCGAGGAAAGGAAGATGCTCTGGTCACAAAAAACATGGTGCCTGGAGAGTCGGTCTATGGTGAGAAGAGAATCACCGTGGAGGTGAGGACGGGAGCTTGTGGAGGGGGCTGTGGGACAGGTTCCCATTCAGTCAGTCATCAAGCATGTACTGAGTCCATGCTCTCAGAACACATAGTCAGTTGTCATGTATAAACAAACAAACCATACGCAGAATAAATTAAGAGATAATCCTTGAGACACTGTGGAGGGGCGTTGAGAAAGGATTCTTGTAAAAAATGGGGTTTCCGGTGGGGCTTGAAGGAAGCCGGGGCAGGTAGAAGACAGATAGGAAGGAAGAGTCTTCCAGGCCTGGGGAAGCATGTCAGCCAGTGAAAATCCCTGAGTTGGGAGATGGAGTGTCTTAAGGGATAGCAAGGCCACCGGTGTCAGTCCCAGATCATGTTGGGAAAGGGAGGGTCAGGGAGGGCCAGATGATGAAGGGCTGACTCTTGCTTTTCTCCACCCCTTCAGGACGGCGAGGCGAAGTTGGAGTACCGTGCTTGGAACCCCTTCCGATCAAAGCTGGCTGCGGCCATCCTGGGCGGAGTAGATCAGATCCACATCCGACCTGGGGCCAAAGTACTCTACTTGGGAGCCGCATCAGGCACTACGGTCTCGCATGTCTCAGACATTGTGGGCCCTGTGAGTCTGGGGGAACCTTCCCCACTTTTGGAAATATTAGAATAAGAAAAGGGAGGGCCTGCTTCTAGCTTCTAACTGCCTAAATACAAAACCCAAAGAGCTGGTTGTGAGGTACGTGAACAAGATTCTCCCACTGCCCTCGAACTCTGAACAAAGGGGTTGGAGGACAAGAAGTATGGTACAGAATGATCCCTTGGTGATTTTAGCTTGGCCCCTGCCACTTCCTGGGTCTGCTCTGGTCAGCTGTTGAGCAGGTCCTCTGGGGATTGGGGTGGAAGGCTTGGTGATGGGTTCTTGGTCATGTGACAGGTGGGGACAGCGAGTTCTTCTCTGCCGTTTAGGAAGGTCTGGTCTATGCTGTTGAGTTTTCTCATCGATCTGGCCGAGACCTCATCAATGTGGCCAAGAAGAGGACGAATATCATTCCCGTCATTGAGGATGCGCGACACCCCCACAAATACCGAATGCTCATTGGTGAGGGCCCAGGTCATCCCTGCTTCTGTAGACAGCACACACTGAACCATAGGCCAAGGAAGCTGAGAGTGGGGGCAGCAGTGATCTGCCCTGTGGCTAGAGAAGGCAAGAAGGTCCTGAGTTCAAATCCTACCTTAGACATTGACTAGCTGTGTTGCCCTGGGCAAGTCACTTAATCTGCAGGGGCCTTGATTTCCTCATCTATAAAAATAGGAGCACCTTCTTCCTAGGATTGTTGTAAGGATTTAAACAGATGTCAAGCATTTTGCAAACCTTAAAGCACTATGTAAATGCTATTATTTGTTAGAAGGGAGTGTGACTTTAATTTCTGGGAGGCAGCTGACCTCAGAGTTTGGCCTTTAAAATCCTGTGGACATAGGGCTGAGACAGGGAATGACGTGTTCAGAGCCATCCCTTGAGATTGGATTGGCAGTCTGCAGGGTGCGGTGGAGGGGTAAGAGATGAGATGGGCCCAGGAATGAGCCTGATGGTTCTCTAGGCTGACCATATCTGGGGTCCTTCCTTCCTCTGCCTCCAGGGATGGTGGATGTGATTTTTGCTGATGTGGCCCAGCCAGACCAGTCCCGAATCGTGGCTCTCAATGCACACAACTTCCTGCGCAATGGTGGACACTTTGTGATCTCCATTAAGGTAAAGTGTCCCAGCCAGATTGCGGGAACAGGGCCCTGGGTCTGGGCAGAGGTGGGTCTCCTCCTCATGACCATCACGTCTTCCAGGCCAACTGCATAGACTCCACAGCGACCCCCGAGGCTGTGTTTGCCTCCGAAGTCAAGAAAATGCAGCAGGAAAATATGAAGCCCCAGGAACAGCTCACCTTGGAGCCCTATGAGCGAGATCACGCTGTGGTGGTGGGCGTGTACAGGTGAGCTGGGGGAAGGGACCCCATTGGCCTTAAGGGGGTTCACTGGAGGTGAAGGGAGGTCACTATGCACAGCAGGGGCTTCATTGGCCTGGGGGGTATCCCATGGGCTGGGATTGGTTTCCCTTGGGGGGGTGCTACCTGGGTTCTGAGGTCTCCTTTCTCCCCACAGGCCGCCCCCCAAGCAGAAGGAAGTGGCTGCCAAGTAGCTGTGGCCTCTGCTGTCCCCGCCCCGTCCCCCTCCTTTTCTACTGTAGCTGTTTTGTGTCAGATCTTTGTATTTTCTATTAAAAGGTGTGACCCCATGTGATTCCTGGATTTTCAAAGGGTTAAGGGGCGGGGTGGAGGGAAGGAGGCTTCGCGCCTGCGCGATGAGGCTAGCCGCTGATGCTCGCCCTGTGGTTACCCAGGGAGGTCGGGCGTCGACCTCTGCGACGCATGCTTCGTCTTGCTGCTTTCTGCGAGCCCTGGGCGGGACCTGAGTTCGGTGTTGCGCATGTCTCTTCCACAGCTGGAGCAGGCGCACGGGACTGTAGCCCGGTGCCTGAGTCACGTGTCGAGGGAGGATGGGAGGGGGCAGGAGGCGGAGTCCGGGCCGGGGGGGCCGGTTTGTTGTGGTCGCCATTTTGCTGGTTGCATTACTGGGTAATTGGGGACCCCGGGCCGCTGCCGATCTGACTGGAGTCGCCCGCCCGCGCCGATTCTGCCAGCGTTCCCGCGCAGGGATGAGCCCGGGGCGCTGAGCCGCCGCCTGCCCCGCGCGTTCCGCTCCGCCCCTCCCCCTACGGCCCGGCACCCCCGCCCACAGGTAACGGCCGCGCGCGCGCCCGCCGGGGTTGGGGGATGGGAGGGGGCGCGTACCCGTCCGCCCTCCGGCGCGCCGCCCTCCACCCCCTCGCCGAACGTTAGCCCCGGGGAGGGGGGGAGGGAGCTCGAGACACCCGTTACGGCCGCCACTCCCTGGGCGGCGGGGTGGGGCGGAGCGGGGGCGCGCGCTGTCCCGGGGCCCGGCGGGGTGGGGGAGGGGCGCCGGGCCGGACCAGGTGCCAGGGGGGAGGGGAGGGGAGGGGGCGGGGCCGCTATTTATAGCCGGGTTCCTGGAAGGGGCCGGCCCCGGGGGAGCGCGGCGCGGGCCGGGGCGGGGCCGGGCAGCCGGGCCGGGGGCGGAGCCGCGGCCTCTCCGGCCCCCTCCCCCCCGTTCCCCCGCTCTCTCCCGCTCTTTGTTTGGGCAAGAGCCGGCGCGGGCCCCCACCCGCCGCATCGCGGTCGCTTGGCAACAGCGGGCCGGCTCCCCGCCATTGGCCAGCGCGCCGAGCCCCTCGGGCCAATGGCAGGCCTGTTGCCATGGCAGGGGTCATGTTGCAGCCGCCTCGTGCGCGCCGCGGGGAACGGGAGCCCAAGCCCGGGAGGCGGGAGGCGGGGCGGGAGCCGGAGCGGGCGCCCCTCGAGCTCAGCACCTCCTCCCCCCTCCCCCCCCCGGGCGGCTGCTGCTGGGGCCCAGCGGACGGGACGGGACAGGGCAGGGCTGGGGCTGGGGGCGCCTCCCAGGCCCAGCGTCCCGGGCCTCCCCTTCCTCGGCACGCAGCCCTCAGACGGGTCACCCTTCCACCTCCGTGTACCCTCGGGGCTCCCACTCTCCCTGCCCAAGATGCTGACTGCCCGACTGCCAGACTGGGGACCCCGCCGGCCACCTGCCCGTGGCTCCCGACAGCCCCCCAGCGTGGGTATGAGAGAGGGAGGGGTGCAGAGTGGGGGCGACCGTAGGGGGACGTCCTAGTGTCAGATGAGACCCGTCCCCCAGTGCCCAAATGCTTTCCCTTTGTGCTTCCCCATCCCCCCCACAGAGAGTGGCTATCAGCTGGCGAGGAGTGGGTAGGAGGTTGGGAGAGTTCCAGCCTCCCCCCTGTTGTTGGGGGAGTGGGGGAAGGGCTGTCACAGGCCCCTGACCTGCTCTGCTCTGGCCCTTCATTGTTACACTGCCCTTTCTTACTCTGCCCCTCTTTAGCTGTCTTTGCTCTTTTCTCTGTCTGTCTGTCCCGTCTCCCTGACACTCTTCTGGCCTGACCCCCTCCCTTCCTCAGTTGCCTCGTCCCCCACAGCCCATCTCCTCTGCTCCCTCCCTCTAGGTCCCGGCGGTGCGGGTGGCAGCAGCTGTGGTGCAGGATGCGAGGAGTCGCCCCCCAGCCGGGCTCCTGCTCCGGGCCTTGCTTCCCTTCGGTCCTCTGAGCCGGACATGGCCGCCCCTCCCAGCCATGGTCCTTTCTCCGGCTTCCCAGCCCCCCAGGAGCATCCACAGGTAGCGCCTGACCTAGCTCCTGGTGAAAGGTCCGGCCCAAGGGCCTGACTCCTGGATCCAGCTTCTTGGGGACAAGAGGACAAGCCTTAGGGAGGGATGTGAGGTTGAAGGGCCTGGTGTTGGATCATGGTGAGCTGAAAGCTCTAGAATGTGTAGGTGGAGACTTGAAGGATCTGGCTGGGAAGAAGGAGCTCCTAGTTTGGGACCTGGAGCTGAGGGTCACACACTGAGAGCTGAGCGGAACCTTCGAGGTCATCTCCTGCTCATTTTACAGATGAGGCAGCTGAGGCCTGGAGAGAGGCTAAACCATTTGTCCAGGGTCACACTGGGAGGAAATGGCTGAACTGGGATTTGGGCCCAGGTCCTGGGGCTCCATCTAAATCCAGCCCCCTTTCACAGTATCAGAGTCCCTGCCTCAGCTTCAGCCGTCAGATACCGCAGGGTCTGTGAGGAAGTGGTTCAGCGTTGAAGGTTAAGAGGCAAACTGACCAGGAGGTGGAAAGAGCTGGGCTGAAAGCTGGCTGACTCTCGATGCTGGTCAGCTGTGTGATCTTGAGAAAGTCATCGAGAGCTTCAGTTTCCCCTTTTGTAAAATGGGGGCAGTGGTTGTCCTGTAGGACAATGGATCTGTGAGTGTGGGAGGGAGGGAGAGAGGTCAGGGGTTGAAGGGCCTGGCCCTTTCTGTGTCCTTGGCCTTCTTAGGTGGTGCCAGATGTCAGGCTGCTACAGCGACGGCTCCCGCTGGCGTTTCGGGATGCCACCTCTGCCCCGCTTAGAAAGCTCTCTGTGGACCTTATCAAGACGTACAAGCACATTAATGAGGTGGGTTGGGCGCTAGGCAGGAGCTGGGAATGAGTTGGGGGGCAACTCCCAACACGTCTCCTTACCATCCTCTTCACTCCCCCCTCCCCAGGTGTACTACGCCAAGAAGAAGCGTCGGGCCCAGCAGGGACCCCCAGAGGACGCGAGCACAAAGAAAGAGAGAAAGGTTCTGAACCACGGCTATGATGATGACAACCATGACTATATTGTGCGAAGTGGGGAGCGGTGGCTGGAGCGCTATGAGATCGACTCGCTTATTGGGAAGGGCTCCTTCGGACAGGTGGGGCCCAGAATGAGACACCTGGGGGAGGGGGAGGCCACCCAGCAGACAGCAAGAGAAGGCGAACTTTGCTCCCCTGCACCCCACATGCTGAGGCCTCTGCACCCCCAAGTGCTCTCTGCTGCCCCTTGTCATATCTGTTGACACCTACACTAGAACACTGCCTGACCACGTCTCTCCCCCTTGGGATCCATCCTGAGGCCCAAAGTCCTGCTGACCCCATCCATCCCCATTGATCCAGGGCCTCTTGTTCCTAGGTGGTGAAGGCCTATGACCACCAGGCCCAGGAGCTTGTGGCCATCAAGATCATTAAGAACAAGAAGGCATTTCTGAACCAGGCACAGATCGAGCTGCGGCTGCTTGAGCTGATGAACCAGCACGATACGGAGATGAAGTACTACATCGGTGAGGCCTGAGGCCTGGAAGGGGACGGGCGGGTGGCGAGGGAAGGGGCAGGGGCAGGGGGCTGGAGGCCAACGTCCTAGCTGCCACCGCCTGTCCCTGCTCCCTCTCCTCCAGTGCACTTGAAACGACACTTCATGTTCCGGAACCACCTGTGCCTGGTCTTCGAGCTCCTCTCCTACAATCTGTATGACCTTCTGCGCAACACCCACTTCCGGGGCGTCTCGCTGAACCTGACCCGGAAGCTGGCCCAGCAGCTCTGCACGGCCCTGCTCTTCCTGGCCACCCCTGAGCTCAGCATCATCCACTGCGACCTCAAGCCCGAGAACATCCTGCTGTGCAACCCCAAGCGCAGCGCCATCAAAATCGTCGACTTCGGCAGCTCCTGTCAGCTGGGCCAGCGGGTACGCGGTGACCACGGCCCATGGCCAGATTCGCCCTTGGGGGACCATCTCTCAGTCTGGGCTGGGGGCAGGCAGGCCCTGACCGAGCCTCCTTTGTCCCCAGATCTATCAGTACATCCAAAGCCGCTTCTACCGCTCCCCTGAGGTGCTTCTGGGGACGCCGTACGATCTGGCCATCGACATGTGGTCTCTGGGCTGCATCCTTGTGGAGATGCACACAGGAGAGCCCCTCTTCAGCGGTTCTAACGAGGTGAGGCTCAGGCTGGGAGGCCGAGGAGGCGGGCCCAGGGACGCCAGGTGGAGGGGGGCGAGCCTGACAGCTCTGGCCCTTTGGCTCAGGTGGACCAGATGAACAGGATCGTGGAAGTGCTGGGACTGCCCCCAGCTCCCATGCTGGAACAGGCCCCCAAAGCTAGGAAGTACTTTGACCGGTTGCCTGGAGGGGGCTGGACCCTCCGGAGGAGCAAAGACCTCAGGAAGGTGAGCCGCTCTGCTCTTCCCATGCCTGCCACCCCCCCAACCCTGTCTAAAGGGCCCTTCTCCCAGGTGGCTTCTGTGCGCTCACTTCCCAGAACCCTTGTCTCTGCTCCCTCCATCCCTCCGTCCTTTCTCTCTGTCTTTCTCCCATCCGTCTTTCCTGGCTGTCACATTACAGTTAGGAATTGTTCAATTATTCCCTTCCCGTTCTCCTTGCTCTGCCTGGGTTCCTTTGCGGGTCCCCTGGCTTCAGATTCCTCTGCGCCTCCCCCACGATTCCTCCGCTCTTCCCTCCCTCCTAGGAGTACCAGGGCCCCGGCACACGGCGGCTGCAGGAGGTGCTGGGTGTGCAGACGGGCGGCCCCGGGGGCCGGCGGGCAGGCGAGCCGGGCCACAGCACAGCCGACTACCTCCGCTTCCAGGACCTGGTGCTGCGCATGCTGGAGTATGAGCCGGCCGCCCGGATCAGCCCCCTGGGGGCCCTGCAGCATGGTTTCTTCCGTCGAACTGCCGATGAGGCGACCAACACGGGGCCCTCGGGGAGCAGCACCTCCACCTCACCTTCTCCAGCCCCTGACGCCTCCCACTCCTCCAGCGCGGCCAGCTCCGTCTCCAGCTCTGGTGCGGGGGGCTCCTGGGACCGCCCCCGAAGTGGGCTGGGGGAGAGGCCTTAGCCCCTTAGACAGAGGCCCATGCACCATGTGAAGCCGGAGGAGATCTCTTTTCTCTGAATCTCACTTGTGCTCACGTAGAACATGTAACGTCATGACCATTCCATTTCGAGGTCCTGGCAATCTGTGCTCTCTCTCACCTTGAACCAGAGGGTCTCTCTCCTCTCCCCTTGGGCTCTTGCAGGGTCAGAGGAGGAGATGTTTCACCAGCTTACGGTTTTCCTACCTTAGGTGGCTCAAGTGGATCATCCAATGACAACCGGAGCTACCGCTACAGCAACCGGTACTGTGGGGGCCCGGGGCCTCCAGTGACGGACTGCGAGATGCACAGCCCCCAGGTACGGGCCTTGGGCGACGGGCGGGTTCCAGGAGCTCCTTCCGCACCCTCGGGACCTGTTGGAGCCTTCCTCCTAGAGGCTGATGGCCCCTTGGTTTGACTGATTGTAGCCTATCCTTTTCTTCCCCTGGCAGGTCCCACCTTCCCAGCCGCTGCGCCCTTGGGCAGGGGGAGATGTGGCCCACAAGCCTCCCCCAGGCCCGGCCCCAGCCTCCTCTTCCTCCTCCTTCCATGGGGCCGGTGGCCGGCCTCCGGCCCAGGCTGGCTCTTCTTTATCCTCCTCACCGCCTCCCCCTGAGCTGATGGACGTGAGCCTTGGAGGTGGACCCCTGCTGCCTCTGCCTGCCCCACAGGACTGTGCCCCACTCCGCCCTGCTCCCCCTCTCCAGCACCCGGCCACTTCGGCCTTCCGGACTCGGACCACAGGGGGGGGGCGGCCCCAGGGGCGGGGGCCGGCCGCCGATCCCCCCACCTGAGGACCCAGCCCTAGGCCCCCGCCTGGGCCTTTGTGGTGTCCCCCAGAGTACGGCCGCCAGCTCGTGATCCCCTGCCCCCCTGGGGCCCCCCGAAGCCATACCCCTTCCCCCTTGGGGCCCCTGGGCTCATGCCTTCCTTCCCCCAGCCCTCCTCCCCTCTCAACTGGAATTGCTGCTACCCAGTGGGGGAGGGGGGGCACCTGCACTGACCTGACTGGGGGCTGGGGCCGAGAAGAGGAGGGGTATGACCCCTGCCCCCCTTGTCCCCCCATGGACTGGCTCCTCGGCCCTGCTGGCCCCTTTGTTTTCTATTTATTGTACCAAAGACTGGCAGCCCTGGGGTGGCTCCCCTGTTCTCCACCCTGGGGCTGGGGGGGGGGAGGCATCCGCAGGAGTCTGGGGCGCCCTGTGCTGTACCCAAGTAAAGAGCTTTCTCACAAGCCCGGCAGCTCCTTTGCAGGGTCGCTCGGCCACTCCCTCTCTGAAATAGACACTGAATCCCCAGAGGAAGGAGTAGGGAATGAGGGAGAGAGGTAACAGGTCATCATTATCACCTGGAGACTTGACCCTCCTGTTATGGGATGTCATGGTCCTGCAAGGATCGAGGGGAGAGAATGACCTTGACACGCCCAGGGCACCCCATCCATCCATCCCTTAACGTGCCTCCTCCCCACAGGGAGCCAGGCTCGGCCTGCCCGATACCCCAGCAGGCCCCGAGCCCCATGGGCATCTTGTGGAAATGGAAGTGACTCCAGGGCTGGGGCAAGGCAGGACAGGGCCAAGACCTGCATCCTTGGGGCCTGGCCCACCTTCCTCACTGGCCTAAAGGGGGGGCGGAGGGCGCTTCCCAATGTCCACTGCCAGCAATGAATGTGAACTCCTGGGGGTGGGGGCGTCATCCCAGGTAAGTACCCGGGTTTGTTCTTCCTCTCTCCCAGTGGAGGTGGGGAGGAGGGTGGTGGAGTTTTCTCCAAGGTCAGTTCCCCCTCCCAGTGATGGTTTCCATAGTGATTAGAGAGGGTCCTAGGGACTTGTCATCTAATCCCATATGGAAGAGCAGCTGCTCCCCTGGGGGTCTAGGCCAGAGGCAGGCAGGCACAGGTTTCTAGTGGGGCCAGGGTCTGGATTGGTAGCCCCTACCCTGTGGCCTTTGCGAAGGCCGTGGCGCTTTACGTTGCACACCCCCCCAAGCACTGTCATCAGGGCGAGGGGGAAGGTGGGTGTTGCAGAGGCTCCATTTTACAATGAAGGGCACAAACTCGGGACACGGACCACACGGACAGTGAGGGTGGGGGCGGGCCCTGGACGCTCTCCAGCCAATCAGAAGCCCCACTCGGGCGAGACCTGGGTCTTCCCGGCGTGTCTAGGAGTCGCCAAAGGACACGGGCCACCAATCAATGTTCCGTCTTCTCTGAGCTGACCAATCGCCAGGCCAGAGGGGAAAGGGAGGGGGTAGAGAAAAGCGAGACTAGAGGGATTGGCTGCTGCGGGCTAGGCGGGTGGGGCGGAGCAGGCTCAGGGAGGCCGTGGATTGGCTGGAACAGCCGCCCGTTTGTGGGGTGGGAGGGATGAACAGGACGGGTTCTCGCCCCTGGCTGCGCGCCACTCCCTGTACTTGGGCCTTCCCTGCTGCCGCGCTCATGCCCAGTAGGGCCTAGAGATCCCGGGGAGATCCCTGGGCCGGAATCACGCCCCGCCCAGACCGGGGAGACCCGGGCCCACACCGCGGGGGGCCTGAGCGTGAACCCTTCCTGCTGCCTTGCTGTGCTGCTAGCTTCCCTATCTGTCAAATGGGCACCTCAGCGGCCGCCTCCCGGGGGCGTGTGAAGATCAAATCTTTATAGCATCTTCGAGCCTCCGTTGCCAAGTTCGTCAGTTTGGGGCGTCCTTGTTCATACCCCTGCGCTTCAGTTTTCCTATCTGTCCCACGAAGGGACCTTGAGGATGGCTAGAGGGCGCTCGGTCACGTGGTGGAGGCCTCCCCAGCGCCACCCCCCTCCCTAGAAGTCGAGATCCCCTTCGTACGCCCCCCCTCCCGTCTCTCCGTGACGTCAGATGTCAGTTCTGAAACTCGCGTTAAGACCCACGGCCCCAGAAGAGCATTTCCAGCCACGCGCCACGCGCGTCTCCACCTCCCCGTGGGCGCCCCCTGGTGCGTGAAGGGTAACAATGTTGCAATGGCTTGCGGTGGAGGGGGGAATCACCGCTTCAAAAGCTTCCTCCCCTTCGGCCACACGGTGAAAAATCAAGGGAAAGAATCGAGAATGAGGACAGTCAAAGGAGTCCCAAGAGATGGGGTCACTGGGCCTAGTGGCCTTGGGGCTCCCCAAGACCTTGTCTTTACGATAGTGTTTTTCTTAGAGAAGTTCTCCCCGTTCTCTTCAGTTGGTAGTATCCAAGATTCTCGGAAACCCTCCTTTGTCATTTCTTGTGGCAAAATAATATTCCATTATATTCACGTACCACAGTTTGTCAGCCTTTCCCCAGCGATTTAAGAGGAAAATTAAGGAAGCCTTGTAAGTTCTGGTTCTTTGCTTTTCTCCACCTTTAATCCCTCCTTCAATATCAGGAAAATTGTGTTGTTTGGGGGCCATTCCCTCCACCCTGTTCTCCTCTTACTCTCCCCCCCCCAAATCCCTACACCAAATCCTTGCTTGTTTCTATATCGAGGTTGATTTCTGTCTCCACCAAACTTTGTTCAGCCCTCCATTGGCCATTTCAGATAAGAGTGAGGCTCATCTGATGCCCTTCAGGTTTGTACCCTCTTCTCATTCACTCTAATCATGAGAAATAAAAAGCTTCGTCCCTTATTCCTCCTTTCTACGCTTACCTTTTCCCCTCACTTACCCTCCCTTCTCTTTCCTGGCTTCAAACTCTCAGAGCAGAGCCATTCTAGCCCTCCAGAACCTCTCTTTTTCTCAATTACCTCAATACCCTTTGAAGACATCAAGATTCTAAAGGGTCACTTGTTTCCTCTCCCCTTATTAGAATGTTAGCACTGCATCCTCAAACAGCTCCTTCAAGTTACTCAGATAGGTTTACCTTTCCAGGTTTCTCTGGACTCTTCTGTGTGCATTTCAGAATTCCTGCTCGCCTCTGGGCTTTACAACAAAAGTGCTTGAAAGTCTCTATTCTAACAACCATCCATTTTCCCCCTTTAGAATTATAATATTTTGCATGGTAAATCATTCATGGTTGTGAGCCTATCTCTTTTGCTTTTTGTAACCTCTTATTCTAAGCTGTCTCTTGGTATTTAGTAGAAGTTGCCAGGTCTTTTGAGCCCGAGAGTGTAGCTCCATGGTACCTGAACCATGCTCTGGGTGCATTATTATTTTCTTTTTTTTCTTTTTCTTTTTTTTTTTTTTTTGTATGGGAGCTCTGAATTTGGCTGTGACATTAGTGGGAGTTTTCCTTTTGTGGTCCCTTTTAGGAGATGATTGGTAGATTTCTTTCTAGCTTCAATTTGCTCTCTGGTTCTTATAAATGTGGGCAGTTTTTACACTGATGGTTTCTTGAAATATGATGTCTAGGCTTTTTTTTTAAATCATGGTTTTCAGGGAGTCCAATGATTCTTATTTATCTCTACTTGATCTGTTTTTCAAATCAGTTATTTTATATATCAGATCTTTTACATATTCTCTCTCTTGATCTGGATCTAATATTTCTTACTTTTTCAGAGTCATTGATTTCTTTTTGGTCTATTATAATTTTTAGGAACTCCTTTCCTTAGGTAAGATTTGCCACTTTCTCTTCTAAGCTACTTCTTTTATTCACCTAACAATTTTTTCCTCCAGAACTTTTACTTTTTTTTTTTTTAATTTTTTCTAACCATCCATGTAGTGCATGTAGAGGTCTGTGAACTTAATTTTTAAAAACATTTTGATAACTTTTTCAATATGTATTTCAATATATTGATTTCTTTTTTAATAATTTTATTTTATACATTTAAAAATGTTATTGTGAGAGCTGGGCAGCTAGGTGGCACAGTGGATAGAGTGCCCAGGTCTGCAGTTAGGAAGACCTTCAGACACTTACTAGCTGTGTGACCTTGGGCAAGTCATTTCACTCTGTGTGCCTCAGTTTCATCATCTGTAAAATGAGCTGGAGAAGGAAATGGCAAACCAGTCCAGGATCTCTGCCAAGAAAATCCCAAATGGGGTCATGAAGATCCATAGCTTCACCAGACTGCTGAAGGGGTGAACAAAGTTTTCTGATGGAACTTTTATAGAAAATCCATTGTAGAAAAAAGAGATAGAGAGAGAGAGAAGGAAAGAAAAAGAAAAGAAAGTGTACTTTTCCTTCCAGTCGCTACTTGCAGTTGTCATGGAATTAACTTACTTCTGTTCTTGGGGTGGCGCAGGGATCTTTTAATCTGTTATACTGGTTGATATTTTCTCTGGTTGACTCATCTTTCCAGCTTTAATTCCTGAACTAGAGCTTTGTGCCCAGGCCAAACTCCGCTGGCTGCTGGTGCTTTGGGTGGGATAGTTAGTTCTCTTACCCTGGTTCTGTGTTGGGGTTAGCCCCACTCTCCCTCCCTGGATCTTTGAAGTTCAGAGGACTAAATGAATCTTTAGGGCCCCCTCAAAGAGCCCAGACAGAATATGAGGGCCTTCAGAGCCACCGTCCAGGGCTGTCCCTCAGTGGTCACTGGTTCCTGCCATTCCCTGGGCCTTACTCAAGGGAGCCCTTAGCTCAAGCTGCCTTCTGTTTCAGAGCTTTGCAGATTTGTTTTGCTGGAGGGGGCCCTTTGCCTATTGCCTTCAGGCTTTTAGCTGACTTTTTGTGAAGTTCTTGGAATGAAAAAAGTCACTGTAAATACTCATTGGATTTATTGATCATAATAAGTGTTGTTCAGCCACGTTCAACTCTCTGTGGTTCCATTTAGGGTTTTCTTGGCAGAAATCCTGGAGTGGTTTGCCATTTCCTTCTCCAGCTCTTTTTACAGATGAGGAAACCAAGGCAGAAAGGATAAAGTGGCTTGCCCAGAGTCACACAGCTAGCAATTGTCTGAAGCCAGATTTGAACTCAGGAAGATGAATCTTCCTGACTCTGGACCCATTGCTCTATCCACTATGGCGCCACCT